AAACAAGCACAGAAGTATAATTTCAACGACCCAGATGTTGACATCGGAGATCAAGTAATCGATAAATTCCGATCTTAGGTTTTAAGAAGGAAACTTCTGGGAAAGCAAAAACCAGACTTTGAACAAGGTGAAAGAGGTTGTTGTAGCAATGGAGGCCGTAGACCTGCAGGCTAAACAAATGAAAGAGCAGAGCCTTGAGTTAAAGAAGGAAGGGCCATTTTTTGTGCATAAAGTCGTTCAGAAATCTCCCTTAAAATCTCCTAAGAAGTCAACCAAGAGGTCTGGTAACGGGCGGTAGTATCAGTGTGCTCAAGCGGGGCACTATGGTCGTGATAAATGTTGCTCATCTCGGCAAGTAGATTGTTCAAAGTGTAAATGGTAGATAATTATGCAGCTATGTGCAACACTGAAACAAGAGGTGGAGTAGCAAACTCTTACGGTGATCTTAAGCGGGGAGCTGAAGTTGTGAAGTATTTGGAATACTGTGGTGGTTGATGACACAAGTGATGATGATGAAGCATAAGGCCTGTTTTTAAGGGACTGTGTCACGATAGTGCGCATGTGTGAGCTGTGACAGTAGCTGATTGTCTTTGAACCAATCGGAAGTGAGTAAGATGCATGCGAGGAAATTTACATAATTCAAGATTCATTGTTCGCGAAGCGGGAGTCTTCCGGACGTTTTTGTTCGATTTTATATATCCCCATAGTTCATATTTATTCTCTGGTATTCCTCAGATAAATGTTGCAGCTGATAAGAATAAGATTAACAGCCCTGTCCTGCTTTCAAACAAACATTTACCTACGTGTATTTCTACGTAACCACGCTAGAAAACCATTCTCCGATCCGCAAACAAAAATAATTTGTAAACAAACCTTACTGATCTCTCTGTTTACCCTATATAAACTTAGAAATACCTGCAAATAGCTCCTGACCGGTGATCAAAACACACAGTATAGGATGAGGCAAACGTTTTGCTTAAAATGCCAGCTAAATACGCGCTATAATAAAATAAGTCATGCGATCACTGATGCGATGCGGTCGGCTAGCGCGATGAACACTCTGCATGAACACTGTAGCTCAGTCGATTGATATCAGCTTAAAAATCGTAGCAGTATTTGAAAGCAATTCTTAGCGCTTCATCACAAAACGCTTTCATTGCAATAGTAGCCACATAACGTATAAGTATAAAGATTACTCTAAAGGAACAACGCAAAAAAAAAAAGGCATAAACAGGAGCCCATCACTATGGCATAAATTTCAATTGCTTATATCAGCAAATAAAAAAATTCCTTCCGAGTCGTTGCGTCGGGTGTTCCGCAAAAAAAACGTTATCGATTCAACACATAAAGAAAGCGAAACATTCAGGCAACAATTTATTTTTAAAAGATCAATTCTTAAACATCTACGCTCATACAGAAAAGATACAAGGAACATTCCCAGTGAACTACATCAGTAAAGATCGCGCGGCCTGTTGTCAGTACTTTCTGCTATACAACTACGGATCGGAGTCATAAATCGAATGCCTGTTAAAACGTTTCATGTTCGATGGATTGTTTCCTCAAACCTCACAAGACTTCCTGTACAACAAAAGATTGCTGGGTTTTCTCCTTCTGATTCCAGGCACTCGATAAATTAAAATGTTGCAGGCAATCGGAAGTCATGTCGCAGATCAGCTTCACTCGCCGCTGCGTCCCGTTTGAAGTCCACGGCTGTATCGAGGGATCCTTTTTAATTCTCTTTACATATTTATCGTTTAAAAAATATCCGTCAAAGGTAGATCGTTGACTGGAGAACATTAATAGACAGAAATGAAAGCCAGATGACCACATTAAAGGCCGCATTTGATCCGTTTGTAGGAACACTGACAACAACGAACATGGCTTCGTACGGTTCTCCTCAATGACTTCGAATTTTCTCGACAATTCTTGCACAAAAATACAAATTATGGCGTTTAAAACTTCCCAAATGGACCAAAATAGCTCTTGAATACTGATATTATGGCTTTCTCGGGCGTCTCAGGGTCAATGGAAGAGGATTTCTTCACCAAAACGCCAATCTTGAAAAACTGTTCGCCGGAACAGAAATCAAGTTGCCGCACATGTGCAGAAGCGTGTCACAGTCCCTTTAAGCTGAGAATTCCAAAAAAAGGAGGTGCACTAATTCAAGTATTAGTATTGCTAGACCAGATAAGTTGTGAAATGCAATTGGATACAGGTGCCACGGTGTCTATCGTGCCCAAGAATCTGTACGACAAGCAGTTAAATCAGTGGCTGTTGCAGTGTACCAATTAAGTTAAAGGCTTACAGTGGAGTGTAAGTCCCTGTATGTGGGAGGCAGGTTTGGTTGCCGATAGTGTATGATCATGACGAGCAGAAGAGTTGAAGAGGTAGACCGTCTGGAAAGTGAAGGAGTAGTTAAGAAGGTGGAGCGTAGTGACTTGGCTTCTCCTATTGTATGTGTACTAAAGAGGGACGAAACATTCGTATCTGTAGAGATTTCAAGTTGCCCATTAACAAGGTTCTTCTAGACAACCCATATCCATTACCAGACACAGAGGATGTATCTGACACGTTAGGAGGTGGAACTGTGTTCAGCAAGATTGATTTCACACCCGACCTATCCATGGTACTGCAGTCCTTGCATCAGCTGTTCCGGAAAGGAGTGAAGTGGGCCTGGACAGAAGAGTGTAAAGAGGCGTTTGTGCCCAGCAAATATGAGCTTGAGGCTGACATGGTGTTTGTGACATATGATGAAAAGAGTAAGCTGACTCTGGCATGTGATGCCTCCTCCTACGGTGTTGGAGTTGTGATTTCAGATGAAAGAGAAGAGCGTCTCATTGGATTTGTTTCGAGAACAGTCTCCAAGACTAGAAAGGAACTACTCGCAAATATAAAAGGAAGCCCTGGGAATTGTATTTGATGTCCGGAAGAAGAACTGTATGGTCGACCTTTCCACCTGGGAACAGACCACAAGCCATTACCGACCATCTTGGGTCCCAATACAGCAATACTTACTTTATCAGCTACTAAAATGCAGCGTCGGGTCGTCATTTTACAGGCGTACAATTATTAGGCGGGGTATCGCTCATTAGCAAAGCATGCTAATGCAAATTCCTTGTCACGTTAGCCCTGTGACAACGAGCCCATGAAAGAAGAGGCAGAAATCTTCTTCTCAGGCCTTGATGAATTGCTTGATGACGCTAAGGAAATCAGCAGGGACCTCCAAAGAGTGCCTGTGTTAACAAGAGTTTTAGAGTACGCCTTGACTGGATGGCTTTATCATGAAGTGGATGAAGAACTGTTGTAAGAGCAGATCAAGGATGTGTCTTGTTAGGATTGAGAATAATCATTCCGCCACCGTTAAGGAACCGACTACTGCAAGAGTTACACGAAGAGCATCCGGGTATTGTTGCTATGAAAGCTGTTACACGGAGGTACTTGCGATGGCCTAATTTGAATGCAGAGATTGAGCTGATGGTAACGCATTATGAGGTATTCCAACTAGTGCGAAATGCACCTCCGAGAGCAACGCTGTAACCATGCAGATGACTTACTTGAGTGTGGCAAAGAGTACACATTGACTTTGCTGAGAGGGATGGCAAACATTTCCTTGGTCCAGTTTTCAGGCACTCCAAGTGGATTGAACTAGCAAACATGACGTCTGCTTCTTGACCAGTTAAGAGTGCGGCTTGCAGCTTATGCAGTTCCACAGGAAGATGTGTTCGACAACGGGCCCCAGTTCTTTGCCGGTGACTTTGTGAATTTCCTCCCTATTATCCATCGTCCAATGGTGCAACAGAACGTACAGTCCAAATTCTAAAGCAAGCATTACAAAAGGAGTCCCGAGGTGAGAAGAGATGCACAGAAGCGATATTTAAAGCATCAATAAGCAAACTGTTTGTTCCGGCACAGAGACACACCCATTCTATAAGAGCTGTGACACCAGCGGAACTGTTCTTAAAGAGTAGGCCTCGCACCAAGTTTAGTGTCCTAAAACCTAAGATGGAAGTGTTCGTTGAAAACCAGCAAGGTAAATAATTAACAGCAGAAGCATGGCAAAAACCGTGTTAAGGTGCGTGAACTGTCTGCGTGTGATTCGGTGAATGTTCGAAATGTCGGTAGGAGTAAAGAATAAATGGGTCCCTGCTACGTTAATAAGAAGGCTGGGGCCAATAACCTATCTGGCGAAAGTAGGGTGGCAACTGCGTTATTTTCACATTGATCACCTGCTGCAGACTGAGCTTGTGAACCTGAAGAGATTGTAGATAAAGAGGGTTTTGATAAAGTGCTTCCCAAGGAGCAAGATGTCGCAAGGGTTCGCTTACATCAACTAGCGGTTCTACCAGTCAGCCCACGTCAGCAACGGAGCAATCCCGTAGGGATCCTGGATAGACTCCTGGTCCAGCTCCAGTACAAGCCTCAGTGCTTAAAAACAAGATCTCGAACTGTGGCTTAGCGCAGCCATCAACTCCAAACACTGAGACCTCTGTTGCAGCCCGTAAGCTTTAGTCTACCCACTCGGTTCTAGCCCTTGAAGTGGATGCTCTGTCTTGAGAACAAAGTCACAATGTGTCAACTCCCGGAGCTTTGCAAGAACGAAACTGAGCGCATATATCCAGTCGGGGAAAGAAAAGCACCAGTTAAGCTAAATCTGTGACATTGACAGTTATAGGAACTAGCTTTGTCCAATCTCGGGAGACATTTAGTTTGCCCTTGTGTTAAATTGTTGAAGTTTCAAGTGACTTATTAGCTTTTCTAGAGATTTCATTGCAAAGCAGTGTTTTCAGTGGTTTAAGGATTTTCACAGATTCGAAGGGGAGGAAGTGTAATGTATTTGATTTTTCTTTGTCAGCGGTCGTTGTTATACGCATGCGCATTAAAAGCCGCTCTGCTCGTGAGTTGACCGCAATGTCGAAACTCGCGTGTTTAGTGCTGTGTGTTTCATCTAGTTAAATCTTTTTGTGTTTGAAACCATCGACCGTTTTCTCCATATTTAACAA